TTTTATAATATTTAAATAATTATTAATAGAATTATATTAAAAAACCAATTTCAAAAAATTATGAATCACACTGTATTTATTATTAATATAAAACTATATTTTATTATAAAAATTTTTTACAATTTAAATAATAAATATTTGAATTTTTTAAAAATACAATTAATAAAATATTATAACATTTCTTTCTATTTTTTACTTTGAAGTTTCTAAACTTCCTTAAAAAAATTTCTTTAAAAAAAACTATTATATGCAATGTGCAAATACTCTATAACAGAAAATATTGAGAGGACATTATTTAAAAATATTGCACACATTGGAATGCTTGCTATTCATATATCCTGTATGCCAAAATAACACGCTCTGAATAACTATTAAATGAAAACGTTCTTAAAAGGAACACTTTGTAAGAATAAAATATGTAATTTTGGTAAACGTTTGATGATATTATCACAAAGTTTGAGATAAAATATGTTATATTAGCCAATATAAAAATTATTTATTCTATCACTTTTGTCAATTCCTAAAAGTTCTTGATTATTGTCCAATAAAATCGAATTCAAACCTCGAACATTAATCTCGACCCTCTAAAGAAAACTGTAAATTAGTTTCATCTAAATAATAAATTCATTTATATATTCAATTTACCATAAAATCTTTCCAAAAATCCTTTAGATTTAGGAGGATTCTTGTCAAAATATCTCAAAACATGCGTCTCCATCTTCCAAAAATTCATAGTTTCTTGATATTCACCACGACCTTTAAGGATCAGGACATCAATTACTTTTAATTCACTAACATAGCGATTTTTTTCAAATTCTTCCCGAATTTTCGCCCTAACAGCTGAAGCTGGAATATCGAGCCAGTATAGTTTGACTATCTTTGGTGCCTTTCTTTTTTGAACAATAAAGAAATAATCAAAGGACCGTTCCTTCACAAGGTTTATTAACAGGAAAAAATAAGAATTACCGCCCGTTGCCAGTCCCTATATAAATGAAGCACTCTTTGTCGTGCTTCGGGAAATGAAGACGAAGTGGTTATCTTTAAAGTGGTTGCCTTTAAAGCAAGGGCCATCTTGTAAAAAACTTAATTATTGTCAGTGCCTTGATATTTATCTAACGTTTCACCGATCATCAATCATGATCATAAACAATTTAATGTCCACGTGGAGCGCTATTTCACGTCATTTGCCCGTTTTCCGCACCTTATTCAGTTATTTAGAAAATTCTACTACAGTATTTCGCCAAGTAGCATTTCGTAAAAATTCGACAGGGCTTCATATGTCTTCGACACCCTTCTCTCCAATAGTCCGTGTTGACCGTGGCGAGTTCTCCATAACTCCAGCTGCAGTAAATGATTCACAACTGCCTATTAATTTTATCGATGATCATGCAGACACGATTAGTTTACCAGCCACAGCGTCAACGGCAACTCAAACCGCTACAAGCAGTTCGCTTGCAGTGCGATCGTCAATGGCAATAGAAGAAGTCGATAAAAGATGCTGGATTTGTTTTGGCGAGGAATCAGATAGTGTGGGAAAATGGGTTCGACCTTGCAAATGCTCATTGATATGTCATGAAGAATGTTTGTTAAATTGGATCACCGAAAATCAAAAAGGTACTGCATTAAAGAAGGTACGTTGTTTTGTTAAGTATTTTATCTCCAACTGTGCAGATCATAAAAAAAAGCATGATGCAAAAAGAACGTCTTTGAGAAAATAGATTTCTTTAAATTTCACGAGAATGCCTAAAATACGCGAACTTGAAAATAAATATATTCCTCGTGATAATTCCCTTTTCTCACGAAAACCCTGCTTTAAATAGCTTTCAGTATTTACCAAATTTATTTGTAGGGATATATTAAAGAATTTTAATAGTTTAATCAGACATAATTTTTATTAGGAATATTCTGATATCCTGTGATGATATTTAATAATATTTACCAACGTAACAGGTGCGATGCCCTCAATGTAGGACATTTTATCATCTTGCCGAGCGAACATCTCTTCTTTTACGCGCTTTTTCTATCGTTGATTCAGCAATCCAGTCATCGATCCCATATTTTACAATTTTTGGTGTCACATTTGCTGTTGCGGTCACAAATATTCACTACGGGTTAGTTGACAAATATATTGATTGCTTTTAGTTAGGGAAACAATAATTAAGTTTAGATTCTATCAGGGCATACGCTGTTATCACGATGATTGGTGTCGAAGATGGTGAGCGACTTTTAGAAGAACCTTGGAGTTGGAGAATCTGTGTAAATATCACCTTCAAACTCTTATGAGAAATATTAACGAAAATTTGCATTGAACTTATTATTGCGTTTTTAATTGCAGTTTACCCTCCCTCTTGTTCCTATACTACTCATATTTTCCAGAGCCCGTATTGCCGACCCGGTGATGCCACTTATTCCTATGCTTTTTATTAGATATGATCAACTAAGAGTTACTATGCCGCCTAGCCCATCTCTTACGATTTCACTTTTGCCATGGGCCAGGATTGCCTACAATTATTCATATAATCGTTTATTTGGTCGACTTGAGGCTACATGGCGCCGGCAGCTTGAGCCTTACAACACTGCAAATGATGAAAATGGCGAAAATGTTAACGAACGACGTCGCGAAAATCAAGATGTATTGGATCGCTTAGATAGAAGTAATGCTGGTCGTAAGATCGTCGGTGTCTTATGTCTCCCATGTACGTATCTGGTTGCTTGGTTAACACTATTATTATGTATCGTATTTCAAAACTTATTTATATCGTTATATATTACTATAGTTATTTCTGCCATGGTCGGAAGGTAATTATTTGATCGGCTCATTTTATGATGAACTAAATAAATAAATAATTTATTTTGAATCAATCAATAGTTTTTTCGGTCGTTTTTCTTTTATTCGTTCACGCATTCCTGATACTTTTCATCGCAATATTCTCGGCGGATGTTTGTTCATAGTGATAAAGGTTTGTTATAAATTTACTTGTGTGTTTTTAATATTAGTGTTCTGACTTTCATATAATTCAACCGTTTAGGATATTGTTAACCTAACATACAAATATCAGAGAGCTAAGCATCGACGTTCAAGACACATTAAAAATTATGTAGAGTTTGCGCACGAAGAATCATCATCTAATGCTAGACAGTAAATGAAAAAAAAGAAAACAATTATTGTAATGGAATGTAAAATATTTGAACAAAAAATATGCTAACTTATGCTGTCCATTGGATTTATCTTGATACACAAGATAATAATTAATGATGTTAATTCAGAAATAATAATTACGCTTTTTATAGGACTAGCAAACCTGCAATTAATTTAAGATGTATTATATTTGTGATTATATGATGCAGCCAAATATATTTGTTTCGAGAACTGGAATTTATATTGACTTTAATTTAATTACACTTTTTATTTGTAAATTACTTATTGTAAATAAGTTAAATAAATTATTTATTAAGTTGTAAATTATTATTACATTGTTAAAGTGAAAATAAATTATACTAATGATAAGAAAATATAAGGAGAAGTATGATAGATATATAAGATATAACTCTATTTGACATATACCAAAATTTCTAAAAATTTCTTTTTAAAAAATCTTAAGAAAAGAAATCAAAAATACATTTAACTTTCAGAAAGCTAGAAAATATTCAAAAAAACAAACAACTTACACTTTTTAATAATAGGACAAAAAAAACAGCAAAAATTTATAAGAAAATTATTATTTTTAATAGTGTTTCAAACCTTATACAAGTCTATATGAATCTGTTTGATTTTAATTTTCAAAACTATAATGTTGCCAGATATTGTATAGGTACTGTATTATATATCCACAGTTTAAATCTATTAATTTTATACAAAATGGTCTTAATCTTTTAATAATAAATAAAAGCTATTAACCTATAAATTCATAGTATAGTAATAATACTTTATAGATTATCAGAAGAAAAATATTATCATAACTTGAAAAAAGTCTATAAAAATATTTAAATATTAGTATTTATCTTTTTAATTAAATAATAAAGGCATTTATTAAATAATTTTAATTACAAAAGCGACATTTTTTGAAATATCTGTTTTCACTTTAAGCAATGAACATTTTTTTTTTTTTAGAAGTAAAGTGTATCTAAGGTTTGAATTTATTTGATTACAAAAATTTACTACCTTTATAATTGATTAATTGACTTTCAATACATGTCATATCCAATTAATTGAAAATAATTTCAAATTTAATTAGGCTACTTGAAAATAGAAACTCTGATCTTTCCAATAATTGCAGACTAAAAACAGATTAAAATAAAGAAGATTATATAAAAAAAGACTTCTGATCTAACTTCTGTTATAAGCCCATATATTCTATAATATAAAGCATGT